GTGAGCGGGAGGGCTCTGAGGGGGCTGAGGCGCCCCCCATCCCCTTCCAGACCGGGACACAGCAGCGCTCTGCAGGTTTTCGTGAAATTTATAAAAATACCACTGGAAAATTGTGGGGTTTTTTTCCTCCAATAAAAGGAAAAAAAAAAGCAAAGCGGCAAGCTGCCCTTCTCCCGCTTAGGTGACCCGTCACCATCACTTGATGTCTACGCAGACCCGCTTGGGAGGCTGCTCTGCGGCACTGCCGCTCCCCAGGGTATCGCCGCGGTGGCTCCTTTTGGTCTCGGGGGGCTGCTCGTCTCCGTCCCCCCCCACCTCCAGGCCCCGGGGGGGTTTCGATGCGGCCCCTCCGCACAAAGTGGCGGGTGGGGGCGCCCCCCCCCCCACCGGCCTCCAGCCCCTCGCACTTGGGGCGGGCCAGTAAAGGCTTGTAGGTGCGGGCTTTGACGCCTTCCACGAAGCCGCTGACCTGGCTGCAGAGCGGAGGCTTCGTATCTCCCCAGAGGACGGTCGTGCTGTTCCCTGGGCCTGTGATACAATTGAAAAAATACCAGTGGTTTGAACAATCTATTTCATTACCCCTTTCCTTCACTTTTTTTTTTTAAAAACCAGTTACTCCCATCCCAAGGTATTGCCACAAAACCATCCCTTACTTTTTCCAGTAGCCACGGGAGCAGCGTCTAACCCTCGTAACATGTTACGTAGCACTTGAGTTTTGACTGCGTGGTCGGCCCAGAGCTGCTGTAGGTGGGTAACGTTGAACTCCTGCACTTCTCGGTCGTAGAGCCACTGAAGGTTTTCGAACTCGCAGTCGTACAGGACAAGGGGAAACTCGACTGCCATGCTAGGGAAAAGGAGAGAAGGCGTCACCCGTCGCTGTCTGGAGGGATGCTGTGACAAAAAAGGCTCGCGCAACAGCGCGTCAGCCCGTCCTTTCTGCCAAAAACAGCCCTGTCTTTTACAGAACTCCTTTTCCCGATAAAAACTGAATTAGTTTTAACCAAATACCAAGGACTAAAGCCATCAAAAGCTTGTCCAAAAGCAAGAAAAACGTCATCCTTACGGATACCTCCCAGAGAGGCCGCCGGCAGCTTGCTTCCATATTGTGAGAGACGGCTTCGCAGGCTGGCAGAGAAGTGGCTTGCCAGCGGCACTTCGCGCGCAGCCGTCGCTTTGAGAAGCAGCCCGGGAGGTTTTCCCGAGCTCTCCATACCTGTACTGCGGTTTTCGGGGGTTCTTCTCCACATCCAGCAGCTCGTCAATGATCTCAGGGCTCTCCATCCTCTGGCCGATGAGGAAGAGGATCGCTACCATGCAGCGGACTTGGTGATACAGGAACGCCTGTCCCGTCACTTCAAACTGGCACAGACGGAAGGGATCCTGCAGCCCCGTTTCTCCTCCTCCCTCCACCCACATCACTCCGGCGCTGAGGATCGTTCTCTGGAAGTTGACCACCCCGTTGGCGACGTCCATTTTACACAGGTTACGGAAATCGTGGGTCCCCACGTACCTCTGGGCTGCGAGGTGCATGAGGGCCACGTCCAGGTCGGCGCAGGGGAAGAAGTAGCGGTAGGTCCTCTTGAGGCAGCTGAACCGGGCGCTGAAATCGGGCTCCACGGGGGCCCAGGCCAGCGCCCGGATGTCGGGCGGGAGCACCCTGTTCAGAATATGGGTGTAGCGGAGCTCCTCCTCCCTCTCGCTTTTGCCTTCCGAGTCGCCCTTGTGGCCATTTAGCTGCTTCCCCTCCGACAGGTTCGAGCGGAGATCTAGGGAAATCACCTGCAAAATGAGGAAAGCCAGGATTAGATCGCAGATGGGCATATTCGGCGTGTCAAGCCAAGTCTTCCTACACCGCTGTGAAATAAATTCAGGATCTCCTACAGATGAAGGTGTCTTAAATCAGGCGATCTTACCCCTCCTTCCTGCGGGTAAAGCTGCAAGTGCCTCTGCTAAGGCTCCTAGCAGATGCTACGGATTCCTTTAATAAAACAGAGAAAGTTGCAGACTGCCTACGTAGCATGGTCTCGAAATGGCTTCAACTTTAGTCAATGTTTTTAGGATATAATGTGCTCTTTTTTTTTTTTTTCTGGAGGGGAGGTGATGACTTGAACCCCAGCCCGGCTTCCCGGAGGTGATGACTTGAACCCAGTAGCAGCCCGGCTGTCTGGGAAACGTGATGTGGGAGCAAGTTAATTAATGCCACAGGTGCCTGCGCACTTTAAAACGGCGCAAGAAAAGGCAGCCCGTGCCCTTATTTCGTGCGGCTCGTGTTGTGAAGGAGAGCAGACCGCCCACCCGTGCCAAAACCACCCCGGCGAGGCAAAAGCTAAGCCAGCTCCTCTTCCTGAGCCGGGAGGGAAGGAGAGACTGGCCCGACAGCAAAGCCATCGCGGCGCAGGAAGGGCTGTGCTTTCCCCAACGGCTCAGCCAGCCTGATGGCTCCGTGCCCACCGAGCGGGCCGGCTGGCTCCCCTCCCTCCAGCTCCCACTCCCACGCTCCCTTCCGCTAGCTGTGGCTCCCCTCAGACCCTTCTGCGCAGGAATTCAGCTGCCTGACTCCGCAGGAAGCTATCCAATTCTAGGATTTTTTAGGTGTGTTTTTTTTTTAATTTTTGTGGGGTTAGCGAGTTAAATCAGCCGAGAGGGCTCTGCCAAGCGCTGCAGTCGGCGCAGGAAGAGCAACGAGCGCGTCTGGGGAGGAAGGGGCATCTCCCCTTTTTTGGCAGCGCTGAGCTATTGGGGAAGCTGCAGCCTAAAACGCATTTCATCCTCTCAAAACAGGCCCTTGGAAAAAAAAAAACACTTCGAGGGTCTAAAATCATCATTCCACATGGAGGAAGCCATCGCCAGGCTTGCTTTCAGATTTAAAAGCTGATGGCTTTTAAAAAAAAAAAACCCAAACGAATCCAACCCGTGCTGTCTTGGCTCGTCGCTGTGGGACAGTAATCCCACCGGATCTCCGTCCCACACAGGAGCCCAGAAATCCGGGGGAGCCTGGGGGGGATCCTGACCTGTCCAAAGGCACTGACTCCTTTGTCCGTCCGCCCGCAGCGGTGGTAGTTGGAGGTCTGTCTGTTGTCTACCAGCCGCGTCTTCTTCAAGGCTTCAAACAGTTTCTCTTCGATGGTGTTGCTGGTGTTCTCCTGGCTGGCAAAACCCTGGTAGCCCCAGCCCAGGTAGGCGATCTTCAGCGCCACGTGTCTGCGGCCGTAGGCGCCGAAATCGAACGGCCGTTGCTGGCGTTTCTTGGCTTTCCCGGGGGCGGAAGGAGCCTCTCTTCTCCCAGCGCCCTCCTTGTCCTCTCGGAGCTTCTCCTGCAGCCGCTTCACCTCCTCTTCCAGCTCCTGCACCCTCCTCAGGAGTTGCTCTTGATCGGTAACCGCGCTCCCCTCGGCCATGGCCGCTGTCTTGTAGCCTTTATTAGTGGCTGGTAGCTCCTCGGGGTCTGCAGAGAAAGAGGGAAATCGGGGGGGGTTGCATTTTTATGTGGCTTTTATTACACCTAGAGGCTCGCTCTGTAAAATAATTGTTACCCGTGGAATAATTCTTTATTTTCTAACCCCTCAAGTGTTCCTAGCAGAGCATGGGAAGGGCCAAGGGGGCTTAGCTCGGACAGCTTCGTCTTACTCAAGTCTCCTTTTTTGCACTTTTTAATCACTCCTCTTCCCCCCCAGCCGCCGCCACCGCGCATCGGCTCTTGCTCCGTCAGCCCAGGATCGGCGG